TAGGAAATGTTACGTCTTAGTAGGAGTGTCAGTGTCACAGGTCCAGCCAAATTCCTATATGAATATATTTATAATCTGCCAGCCAAATGTTGCCTTAGAAACTAAGGAGTAAAACAACGTGCAACATTTCCGATAGGAGAAAATTAAACCATTGACATTTACCTCCTCATAAAATAACCTAACCTTGGAGAACTTTCCACTGAGGGAAACGTGTTTTATTTCACACTGCCTGAAGATAAGAAAACAATGAGATCTGCTCACTGAAAGTGCAGGAGAGACAAGTAAGAACACATTTTAAAGGTGGCAAGAGAGTCCTCCTTCTTTTCATTGGTTTGCTTTAATTGCTGTCCTCAGTGTGAGCCATCAGAGAAATCCATGCCATGAACTGAAGCCGTATTTTGCCTTTGCAGGTAGCTGTTTTTTCAGTTGATTGTATAAACAAAAGCCTTTGTCCAACTCCTGTAGTTGGTCCATCTGTCTAGATGTTGCTCTTGTTGCTGCTACATACCTTACTGTTCCCTGGAGTCTTTAGATTATATACTTAAGATAAATTATCCTCCAGACAAAATCACTTTAGGCATGGAATCTGCATTTCAGTGTACTTCTTGTGAGTGGACATGAAGCATGGTTTTGAATGGCAAGCTGTCCTCATTTTATTTTGCCTTGCTAAGTATGACAGAGGAGGAAGGCTGAGACCTGGGACTGTTCAGACCAGAGAAGACTAAGAAGGGATCTCATCAATCCTTACAATTCTGTCATTCTCTGATGGCACCTCCTTCTACCCTTTAGAGTAATTTTGGTGCCAGCAAAACCCAAGCACAAATGAAATCCGTTAAGAACAATGTGGTATTCAGAAGCAGGCATTAATATGGTGCCAAATGCACGAGCAGATCCTTCCACCTAATTGTGGACTCCAACAGACCAAAGGCACATCCCTACATGTTCGGGTATGCTATGCCTATGTGTTTGGAGAGAGGTCTGCACTGGTTGTGAGACCCCACCTCACACATTTGGTTAGTTAATGGTGGGACTGTTCTCCTTTTCAGCAGGCTAGATAGATACATTAATTTTCAAGATGCTCCTGAAAGACAAGACTAGCCACACTGACAACTGCTTTACCATTGCAGTTTTTTGCTTAAAAGCTCCCAACAGCTTTAAAGTTTGAGTAACGGTGACATAAAGAAGCATTTAGAGTTAACATTCCAGAAACTTTATGCTGGTGTTGGTAGGTTTCATGTGGGCTTAGAGGCTGGCCAATAGAGAACCTCTAATCTCAGTAACTTCCCTCAGCAGCATCAACCTTTAGCATGGTGTGAGGCCAAGCTAAGCAAGAGCCACAGGCAAGGGATTTTGCTATAACAGGTTGGGAGCCTAGTTATCTTTTGATGGCTGTAAGACCTTCTGCTAAGGAACAGCCTATTCTGTGAGTGACTGTGAGGACAGTTGGAGAGGAGGAATTGGGAAATTACTGAGTTACTGAAGGACTGGGATCAGGTGGATGTAAGACCTAGAGATACCTAAAGGAGATTGAGAAGTGAGCTTTACCTACAGGTCAGTGTGGGAGACCCAAATGCAGCTTCTTGCACATTAGGAAGCCATTTAGGGGAACTTAGGATTCAGAATGCTAAACTTGCTGAAGAATGTGGGAACCTTCAATTCAAAACCTTGAAGTTTTGCTGTTTTCAACTTTACTCTGGGAGTGAGGAACGATTTGCAAACATCATGACTGTAGCAGTTTTCTTCATGGGAGAAGAAAACTGCGTCATGAGAACATGGAATGCTTCCATCTTGCACTGTTACAGGTCAGAGGAGGTCCTAGGAAACAACGGAAATACTGTGGGGAAAAGATAAAGTACAGACAGAGAAAATCACCTTTGACTTGATAACAGTAAAAAATTTATTTTGATTCATATCATACTGAAAAATTAAATAAATAAAACATCAAAGAATGATTGAGACTGCCCACCAACACAGCAAACGAAACAAAATAACAAGAAAATGATTATCGGATTCAATTATGTAGCCAGAAAAAGTTGGAAGAAAATGTGTTCATGAGAGAAAAAAAGTGCTCAAGACATTTGGCTTTGGTTAAGAACACAACACATTCAAGGAGTGCTTCAGAGAATTTTCAGGGGTGGTAAACACAGTTCAAGAGTTTGATGTCTTCATATGTTGATTTAGCAACTTCTTTTAAACAAAATAAAACTAGAAAATTTATAGCAGGAAGACAGACAGTCTTCCATTGACAGTGGGAATGAATTCTTCTTCCAGCATCATCTGTTGGTACCTGTTTATTCCAAAGGCATTTGAACGATGAGCAGTCAGTCACATACAGAACTCGACAGAAAGTTCCTCTGGAACAGAAATGCAATGGTGTGGACTATCCTTCATCCTACAGCTTGTAAGGTCCACCCTCTACTCTCCTCCTGCTCTGAAAAATGGACCTCAGTGGTACATATTACTACCTGCAGTTGGCAAGAAAAATGCAAATTGCAGGTTGTCACATGAAGACTTTAAATCTATCCAGAACAGTACGAGCCAAGAGCTTTGTATGTGCTGTCAGAAGCAGAATATCCAGGGAAAAGTTGGAAATTTAATTGAGCAGCAACAGGAAACTTTTTAAAATAATACAGGCTAGAAGATAGCTGATTTTTTTTTTTATATCACTTTTCTTGACTGCAAGCTGCCACTTGTAGTAAAATAATCAATGGGAAATAGTACCAAGCCACAACTCTCTTCCATACCTTTCTGAAAATGACTGGAATAGTAATGAAATGTTCCCATTACTGACATCTGAGAGAAGAAAACAATAAGAAAATAAATCGTAATATTTCAAACTGATGATTTAAAAATAATCTCCAGAATCCAGTCAGAGGGTGAAGATAATGTTGGAGTCTTCCATAGGAATTTTTTCCTCTTAAAGTTTCTTTGCTTGACTAATATTAGTGTGACATCTTTCCAGAAGCATATTAACAATTTAAATAGTGGAAATTATTAAAATAAACAAGATTCAGGTAGAAACATTAAGCATGTTGAATTTGCTCCACCTGTGACACGCAGCTGAGTAGTTGTGATGGCCAGCATGCTGGGAGAGGACTTCTTGACATAAGGATCATGAACAGGTCTCATAATGAAGATTTGAAAATCCAGCCCTTTCCCTATTGCTAAACTGAAGAGTTATATGTGTACAACAAAGACAGTTTAGTTCCTTGTTTGGCATCCACGGCTCCTTTCATGCTTTAAGCCCAGTAATAGTCATGTGGGTAAAGGAGTTCATCTTGGTGAAACACGTATATTCCATCTGACTGTGTCATTATGCCATGAACTGCTGCCTTGGAGGGGAGCACACTATTAAAAGCCGGCCAGGGGGACAAATCTTGGACTGAAGCACATCACCAGTTGCAGGGCTAGGCTTTCACTGAGCTCACACCAAAACGCCTATGCACTAGGACGTGCAGTGGCAACTGGTGCACGAAAGACAGGTCATTTAGATACAATTTCTGAATTACCTCAAATTCCAAACACTGTAATCCATTAGAAATGAAAGACACTGCTTTTTTCCAGGCCCAATCTGAAGTCCATTGAAGTCTGTGGCAAGAACTCCATTGGTTTCAGCACAGCTGAAAATTGGTCAACAATCCGTAAATTCTATTTTCATTATTTTGGGAAGCAAAACCCACAGTTCTCCACTCTTGAGAACCTGAACTTCATTCTCTGAATCCAGACAAATCTGAAGATGTAAAATCACCACTGTCACTTCCCTCATCTCCTTAAGCTCTGCCAATAATGCATTCACTCCTGAGCAACACACATCAAGTCTGGCTTACACCATAGGATCAGTTTGCGTAGATCATGTCTTCATAGATGTTGCCACTGTGCAAGGGATTCATCACTACTGTGTCACTATCTTATATTCCAACCCATGCTATCACTTGCATTTCAAATGTAGACGTTGTAAAGAGATACCACTTTCTAAATTTGTAAAAAAATAAGAGGAAAAGATTCCTTGGAACATTTGGATATTTTCCCATAAAAAAGGTAAAAGCTACCTTTAAAAATTAGCCTTGTTTGTGTATGCTTAAGTACAATATAGGAGATATTATTCTTAGTTTCAACTACAAAAGTATACCACTTGGAGGCTACACTTCGGTTAATTTCCCTCCCCTTTATTAAAAAAAAAAAAAAAGAAAAATACCATTTGTCACCATTAAAAAAAAAAAATCAAATCTTTGCACAATATAAAAGGCACATGTAAACGACTGAAAGAGAAAACAGTCCACTTTCCACCTTAAACTGATTAAATAAAAATAAGCATTTTGGAGTAATTTTCACAAAAAAAAATTAAAAAAGTTATGTGTAACTAAACAAGACAGTTAAATAGGCTAAAAAGGCCTTAGTTTTTCTTTTATTTTTATTCTTTTTTTCTGGAGTTTTCAATATTCTTTTTTTTTTTTTTTTCTTACTATGGCTGTATAGGAAGCAATAATAAATAAGATATGATCATAGGTGATTTGATCTGCATTTCCTAGCTGCCATCAATGCAAAATGTGGCTATGGTAGAAACAGTTAGTACTCCAGGCAACTTCATCACGTTTTTGCTTTATAGTGCATGAAACCAGAAGTAAAAGAGGAAACAGAAGAGAATTTGAAAAGACTAACAGCAGAACTGAATTCATTACTTTGAGGTAATTCTTACTATGATGTTCAGAGCTACTGTAGGTGTCAAATCCTAGAAGACATTTCCCATGTTCTTCAAGGATTTCTTGCCTTACTCAAGCAAAGAACGGACATACAAACAGCAGTTCCTGCGCCCAAGTTTCCCCAAATTGCAACAGGTAGATCTTTCACCAGTAATTCAGGAATCAATCCGTAGAGCCTAAGGAGTGAGTCAGGATGTCATTTATTCCCACAACTGATCGGTAGTTCCCAGCTATCTATAGATAGCAAGTCAAGTGCAGCATTGAAGCTGGTCCTCAGCTGAGCTCCCTGTGGTGAGCATTGCAGCACTCCGAATCCATTCCAGATTCACACCTTCAAACCTGGCTGACATCCAGATCATCTTCACTGAGCTTTGTGCTGCTGCATGTTGGAAATTGCAGCCCCTACTTGTCCCTGTGGCTAGGGTCATCTGCCCTTGAAAAATTTAATTTTTTCAATGGAGGCAAGAGTCAAAGTTACATTGAACTCAAAATCCCCATCATGGACACCTGTCTGTCGGAAAGCCCCAGCTGAAGCGTTGTTTTCCCAGTAGTGATGCCAGTGTCCTCTGCTGTCTGCTCCAAAACCATACACATTCACCTAGGAAATAAAAGAACTAGTGATATGGCATGGAAAGCAACTGGTCATCTGAAATATTGAAAGCTTTTTCTTGGTTATCAGTACATCTATAGACATCACCACCTGAGGACCTCTTTGCTATACCAAGATGTTCTACTGACTGAGATGGTGCCACCACAGGATAATGGCCCATGGCCTAATCAATGCTCATTACACCCTAAGCTGTGCTGAGAGTAGAAAAGAGTAGAAAAGTCTTCAGTTTGTCCTTGTCTTCCAAATAAAATCCTCTGCAAAGTGTCTGCCCCGCAGTCACTTCTGATCCAGAGTCAGATGGGCATTATGCTTTTTGTTTGTGTATACTCCTGTGGCCTCTCCTCTCCCAGCTGCTCACTCATCAGTGGCTATGCATGTCTCCTCTGGTCATAAGTTCAAATCTTATCTAAAATGAGTTTGCTCATTGCCTACTTGACAGAAACCAATATCCACCGAACCTGCCCATCCTATCTGCCTTGCCATGGTACAGTTTCTGCCAGTATCATTAGGAGTATTATTGTCAGCATACTGTCAACACCCCTCCAAGCAATAAAGACTGAGACACAAGCTCTCTTTAATCAGCAGAGCTGTGTCTAGGCCAATGATTTTGCCAGCACTGTTTTTTTTTTTTGTTTTGTTTTGTTTTGTTTTTTTTTTCTTCTTCTTCTCCTTTTGCTACCAAGCTCATACTTGCATCACCTCACATTACCCAATCAAGGAAATTTCCTCATACTCATGGAATAGAGGCATTTACTGTTCAAATTCACAAGCCTGGGAACAGAAAAGGATTTGAAAATAAGTAATTTGTATTTTCCAAATTGATTATGTAGGAGTTGGTAAATAAAATTATTCCAGTGGGATTATGTTTAAGATTCAGATATCTAAATGGGTGTGCTTGAGCACTTGGAGAACTAGGCAGCAATCCTTGAGCTCAGGGAGCAATCCTGCTCCCCAGATGTATTACCAAATGGTTGGTCTGCCTCTTGACTCCAGGGACTAAGTAGTTAAGACCTCAATGCAATTGCCCAAACATAAGTGCTACTTGAGACGTTCTTGAGTACTTGACATCTACTCAAGAAGGGCAGATATCACACAGGACCAAGAGACTCCCACTCTTCTGAACTGTCATCTGGAGGTACAGGGCATATTCAGGGCACTGCCAACGACTGCAGGTGCCTGAAGTCAGACAATATACTCTGGACTTCCACTGATGAGATGGATACACAACTAATTGTAGATGTAGACACAATCCATATTTATACATCTTTTAATTCCAAATGGACTACCATCTTTTATGCTCAGTTAAATTTCTCTGAAAGGCATTTTAAACCCTTAAGGCATAAGAAAGAACTGTTTCTCTCAGAGTGGTCAGGCAACAGAATGGCTGTCCAGGGAGGTGGTGGAGTTGCCATCCCTAGCAGTATTCAAGAGGTGTCTGGATGAGGAGCTACGAGATATGGTTTAGTGGCTTGGGGTAGCAATGGTAATGGGTAGATGGTTGGACTAGATGATCTTGTAGGTCCTTTCTAATCTTGTGATTCTATGATTCTACCATTAAAAGAAACAGCAACTGGTCACCCAAGCATATCTGAATGTTACTGAGGACTTTGAATCTATCTGAAGAAGCAAAAGGCACAGAAGGTGGCAAATAAAGGTCAGGGCATGATTTTGGCACCTCAGTGCGGTACATCTTATTTAAAACCTATACATCCACATGTAGCCAGACTTTACCTCATCGCATACATGGAGTGCAAATACCACAGAAAGAAGGCCTGTGGAAGGGTATCTCCCATGATTCTGAAGCCAGTTTTCATAGACGTATTTGATAAAAGATGGATTGTAAATCAGAATCTAGGCAAAATTGGAGAGAGAGATTCATTACTAAAACACCTGGGGGAAAAAAAAAAAAAACAACAAAACAAACTGTAGCATTTCATCCCTATAATGACACCAGGATAGGAAAGAAAGGGATAATAAGTAATCTTTAAGGACAAATATACAATCAATGAATATACAGATGTTATATTATAGCAGAGAGCTTGGCTACATAGCTATTACACCAAAGCAGAAAACAGAAAAGATAAGGATGCTTACCCATACCCTGGGCTCACTTACGAAACTCCAGTGGAGTGGATCTCCAGAAGAGATCCTTCCCCCTGGCAGTCAGCTCTTAAATGGGTCTAGGAGAGGTGCAGCCAGGCTCCACCCCTTCCAGCAGCACAGGGGAATTGCCTTCACCTGTGCTCCCATGGCTGACTCATTGCTCGCCTCAGGTGATCAATCACAAGTTCTGGCCGTGACTCAGCAGTTCCCATACAACAAGTGAAAGGGAAACATAAAGTCCCATAGTTAAGCATAATCCATATTTTCTATGTGCAATTGCGCATATCTACTCCTTTGTCAGACTCAGAATCCCACTTGATCACACTAACATAAAGCCCAAGTAATTCCTCCTGAAACCAATGGGTATGATTCTGTGCAAGAAAAAGAAAATTAGGCATTCAGCTCTCCCTGCAGCATCCTGCCGTAGTGCAGGAGAGCTCTGGGGAGTCTGAGGCCTTTTCAAAGAAAATGTAAGATTACATGCTGTATTTGAGGGCAGTATCAGCATCCATATCTTCTGCAATGTATGGCAACCGTGTCTTGGTGTCCATATTTATAGGTCAAAGCAAACCCGAGGGTAGGTATAAACTATCAGGAATCCTATCAGGGAGCATCAGCTGCATTTCTCCTGTTTCCCAAACAAATTATTTTTCTGTTCTTCTATTTCTTTTTCTTCTTTTTTTTTCTCCAGCAAATCATACATCAGTTCTAAATGATTGTTTCCATTAGATGACCCCATAATTTCCTCAGGAGATAACAGTCTGATGTATGATTTGCTGGAGAAACAGTGACTCCAAAGACTGGTGAGAGCCCTTGTTTTCAACCTTCTTGTACTGAATCAGGAAAAGAGAGGCTTTTCCCTCCATGCTGCGTTTGGAATTAGAGTGACAGTGTTTCACTGCTATCTGGTTAGCTGCAGGGCTTTTTCTTTTACAAAGTCAGGGGTTAATTGCTGATATTTTATCTGTGTGTAATTGCTTCTCAAATGGTGCTTAGGTTCACACATTGTGATACGAAATACATACTTCTTGTCTCTCTCATTTGGGAAGCTCCTGAATATCCCCAGCCCACGGCTAGGCTGGTGCTACACAATTGTGACACTGCTTTGACAACCTGCCACAGTCTAACTCACAAGGGTTTTGCAGAAGTTATGTGTCCATCACCACAGGTAGAAGTGAGCTGATTATTTAATACCCCACATAGGTCCACAGTTGAAGTAGAGTGATACAAACTGATAGTGGTTAAAGGCCTCATCTGAAATCCTTGGCAAAACCCAATCTGGTGAATGAAGGATGCACTCTAATTTGTGATCGTAATCCTCTGGGACTGACAACATACTGTGCCACTCCTTGAGAGACTGAGAGCTCTAAGCTTCTCTGAAAACCAGCTTCTTCAAAAGTTGCTGGAACAAGACTTCCATGTTGTTGGAAAGTCTGTGGAAGATGAAATGTCTTTAACTTCCCTTTACACAGCCTGCCTTGCTTATGTCCTCAGATCGTACAGCTACAACAACAGACTGTGCATGATGGCTAAAGGTCCAGCATGGGAACAGTCATCTTGCTCCATTGGAAATCCTGCCCCCAGCAATAGGGTCTGTTAAATCACAGCGTACTTGGGAAAAAAAGTCAGTTTGCTGATCACTATTTAGTGCATAATCCCTAAGCAGCACGAAGGAACTAAAACTTTTATCTAAGTCTTCTAAAAAGAGTGTATTTTGGTCACTACTTTCATGGATGTTAAAGACTTTCTTGGATTCTTGCAGTCTCCTGATGATCTACAGATGGACCAGCAGAACAAATTAACAAATGAGCACTGCTCACCTTTTCCTTTTTGACTTTGATCTTCCGTGGAACAGGAACATATGTGCTGGTAAAAGAAAAAAAACCAAAAGCAACAACAACCAACGTTAGTGAAAACCCAGCACAACATAAAAAAATGTATTTCCAAAGGGAGAATGAATGTACTTCACATAAAGTAATACATTCAAATAATTTGAAAGTAACAAGTTCAGAAAGTGGTTGGAAAATGAGGCCGCAATTAAGTAATAGAGCATGAAAAAAAATAATCTGAGCTTTTATTGAAGCAAGGCTTATAGAAAGGCATTACTTTTTTTTAATTTTCAAGGTAATTATTGACACTGGAACATCAAGGATGTAGTGGAGCATATTACTACACAGTTACTATGACACAGAGATCATGACTTCTAATTCTTGGACCATTACTTTTGCAGCTTTTGCACGCTGGTAACATGGTTTCATGTAATTTCATGGCAGAAATTCCCCATCAGGGGGAGACCTTTCCCCTCCTATTACTAGTAGCTGCTGTATTATTTTCAGAGAAGGTGGTAGCAGAGCTCATTTCTGCAGTTATTTGCAACTCGGGCATCCCAATACACAGCCCCTCACCACCAGGCTATTCCCTGCCTCCCAGGGGGATGCAGATGGCTGCCAGAAGTTCCCCAGTGTAAACCTTTCAGATCATAGCTTATGACTGGCTTGAAATCACGAGTCATGTCTTGAAACAAAAAAGTCTTTTCTGCTCTGTGTCCCATGAACAGCACATGCTGAGACTGCACAGCTCATCACGAGTGCTGAAAAAAAATCTAACCAAGGTTGAATGAAACAAGGTTGTGTCAAGTGAGAAAATCTGTTGAACTGGCCTTCTAATTGGAGCGTATCTCAAAACATGTCCTGTATACTTATTGCACAGAGGTTGAGAGCCTTCCATTAGCATCATCTAAACATTTTATGTGTGATTTTTGGTAATCCAGTGGTGAAAATGGCAATGTTCTCATTTCCTGAACTACTTTTGGGCACTCTGACCTGAGATGTCTACTCTGGGCTTGATGTAATAGGAGAGGGGACAGGTGGGTTGCAGTCCCTGCAGGTGTGACACAATAGACATGCACAGAGTTTGTCAGTGCTAATGGAGAAAGGGACATCCAGGCAGACTTCTCAGTCTGCCGTCAGCAAATCTGCCCCTGCACCTGTTTCCCATGTCTGACCTTGATCGTGAGAAGCAAGCTTGACAAACCTTTCTGTGCTTAAGAGGACAGAAAGGGCTTCCTTGTTGACAAAATCTCACTATTACATGAATAAACAGTCAGTCTTTTCCAGAAAGGTGACAGTGATGTAGAGGAAACAAGGAGACCATTTCATAGGCATGTGGCCAGGTCCAGTACAAGTGTTCAAGATAATACTGGCAGACAGCTCTAATCCACCCTCAAGACTCCTGTAGCTCTTGTCATGTGATAAGTTAGTCTTGCTTATATGAGATACATTTTTTTAGAAGCAATACCCAAGTCCTGAAGAATCTCATACAACTGCATAGAGTACTGGCAGAGTGCTTGAAGTCAAATGGAGACCCCAACTGTTAAACTTACATAAAATCTGGGCTGCTGAGCAGCCAGAATGCTTGTGATTTTTTAGCAAATAGAATAGTCCTAGAGACCTACACTGTAATAGGACGTCCATCAATCAAGTGGTAGAAGTCTGAAAGAATCAATAAGCCATCAATTATAGGAATATCTGCTGTTTGGCTTTTATTTTGGACAGTAAAAAAAAAAAGAAGTATGAAATATAAAATAAACAATTTAAATATTATATTATAAAATAATATAATAATAGTAAATTAATAATATAATCTGGATGTTGGTGGCCCTGCCTGCCTGCCTGTAGTGATCCTTGGGGGCCCATTCCAACCCAAGCCATTCCATGGTTCTATGGTAATGCTGCTGGGAGGTGAGCAAGCTAACTCACAGATTTGAGCCTTAAGAGTTTATTATTTCGTTTGAATGGAACACAGAAAATAAATCACTGCATAAAAGCCCAACCAACAGTGATGCCTACCTTTTCTTTTAAGTATGAGTGCTGTTAACCTGAGTTTGGCTGACACTATGCAGCCTGTGTGAGACACATAATGGCCATACACATGCAGTAAGGAGTTGAACACTTCTTCTCTTTCAAAATATCAAATTTCAGATGGGTTTTATTCCTATTTGATCCTCCCTCTCTTCCACAATGTACTCTCAGCAGTTTCCTTACACACTATATCTGATATTATGATTAATGCCTCCTCAGAGGTTTATACCATTGGTCTAAAATTCCGTTTAATGTATTGTTATGATTTGTGTGCTTATGATTGTCTGGTTTTATTATGCAGCATGTGCCAACTAATTAATTATGCAATTGCCCTGCTATGGCAAAAATCTTAAAATACTGTTATTTCTTCCATGTGATAAATACATACTGATTTACACCAGCTGCTTACAAGCCTATTAATACAATCTAATTATAAATATATATATCCTGCAACTTACTAAGCAGGGATATTTTTCCCTTAACGTGCTGATTTCTAATTCCTGTTATTGACTAGTAGTTAAGCAATTATATGTTCCAGCCAGGCTAGGACTCACTCAACTTTTACCTCTCACTGCAACCCACTCGCTGTGACCTCTGAAAGGTAAATACTCCACAGAACATAGGATGGCTTTGCAGTTTGGGCACAGAGCAGTGACAGTGATGGAAACATGGATGGGTGACGCTAGCAGCAACGCATGATGGTCGATGGTTGGACTAAATGATCTTAGTGTTCTTTTACAATCTTAATGATTCAATGACTCTACAGACTGGCCCCCAGCAAGCTCCTCTTCCTAGCACAGACATGTATTTGACAAAGATGTATCAAGGGGCTTCATTCAAAGGCCACTGAAAGCAGCTGGAATCCTTCCGTTGCTTCCTGATGGGATTTGGATCCAGGCTTCAGGCCAGAGTTTTTCAATCTTGTTTTAATCAATATAACTTACGAAATAAAAGAATTAAGCCTTGCAAAAAAGGTCAGTGATATTTCTTAGCTGATTCTGTAAGTGGGTTGATTTATCTGAGGTATGACTGTTGAAAATGGATTTTTTTGAGACAACTTATGACTGGACACACTAACTGCTGGTGACAAAGAAAAAGCTAAAAAGAAACAAAATCACATTTGTTACTAATTAAGAGAATCCTAATGAAAAGTGAAGAAAATAAAAAATGCATTTGCTAAGAGGAAAATATATAAAAAAAAGAATTAAAACTATTTTTTGTCCCATCGAAAAGTTTACATCCAGCAGATAACCTCAATCATGTGATATTGATACAAATATCACATATTTCATTCTCTGGATTAAGAAAAGCCATTTTATCGGAATAGAGAATCTGCTAGCAAGCATCCAGAAAAAAACATACAATTTGTTCACACTTCTAATTCTAGTGCTGCCAAAAATGCACTTCAATCTGAAAGCACTCATAAAGAAGAAAGAGAGAACAAACATCATTGTGGCACATTATTGCCAGGTAAAATGTGTTAATTTAAGGCCAAGTCACACAAGTGCTGCACAAAACAATGTTGCCTCCTCTGTATGGCTGTCAGTTACCACATGCCATGATATCCTGAGACACCTTCATACTGACAGAGCAAAGATGTGGCAAAACTGAGCAGAAGTTCAGCAGGGTTATCTGAGACAAATTCGGGGAGCAGGGCATGAATGGGAAAAGGAGAAGGAAAAAACTAGTCAAGGATGCACAGGGTAACTCCCTGTCTTCATCTACACCAAACCCAAATACTACCTCTTGCATCACCGCTACTCCCCACTGAAAGACCCAGGATAGGTGAAGAGAGATTTGCTTCTTCTTCACTTGGCACAATTACTTGTTTGTTCTCTCTGAAAATCCATTCTGGGTGGATGTGAGACCCCACCTCTGCTCTCATGAGACTCCATCTGGAACGCTGCAGGAGCCACCAGCACAAGAAGGACGTGGGCCTCTTGGAGTGGGTCCAGAGGTGGCCATGGGGATGACTGGGGCTTACAGGACATCTGAAGAGGGACATTTTACAAGGGCATGTAGTGACAAGACAAGGGTTTCAAACTGAATGAGGGTAGACGTTAGAATGAAATTCTTCATTATCAATGTAGTGAGGTACAGGCTGCCCAGAGAAGCTGCAAATGCCTCATCCTGGGAGATGTTGAAGGTCAGGTTGGATGGGGCCCTGGGCAGCCTGATGTGATGAGTGGCAACCCTGACCATGGCAGAGGGTAGGAACTGGGTAGGCTTTAAGATCCCTTTCAACCCAAACCATTCCATGGTTCTGTGATTCTGTGTCTCTGGCCAGACCCAGGCACTGAATCCCAGGACAAAGGAGGACACAAACAAGCTGGTGGGGAGCTGAATTGAGCAGTCAGGGCAGGATGAGCCATTTCCAGCTCTTCCTCTGTCCTTAGCCATGTAGCTGTGAGTGAAGGAGGAAGAATTGATTTTCTTGAGAATGGAGGCAGGATTGTTCTTCCTCTGCTGAAAAATCTAGAAAGGACCAAAACTGTTCAGGTAACAGCTGATAAGTATAGCCAAGTTTTCATTTTCCATCTCTCTTCTCTGCTGCAACCCATCCTGAAGACACCCTCAGATCTCAGCCCTGCAATTAGCTACAGATCTGATCCCATGACATGTCTGACCTCCACTGTACATTTGAAATCTGATATGGATTTGTCCCAGAGCACCTGGACTGGAGACAATTTCCCAGCAGGAAATTAAAATAACACCAGACAGAAAGTTCAAGTTCATAGACACCCATCCTTCAGCCTGTCCGCTTGGTACTGCCCTTACTTACAAGTTGATAGTGCCTGTGGTGAGAGCGGTGACAATCCAGCGCAGGTCCAGGGTTTTGAAGGGGATCACAATCATGCTCACATTTTCTGCCAGCTCTCTGTAGCTCTCAGGATAAACAAAGTGGTGGGTGGTCTTGCTCCCAACATCTGATTCGTAACCAATGGTGGGTGCCCGGTTCATTCTACAGCCCAAAAATAAGAAGTAAGCGAGTGAGAAAGTTGGAAATGAAATAGGTGCAAATGTGATTCTTCTAGCTTGAAGTGGCAGGAAAAAGTTCCCATGGCTAAAGAGAGTGCTGCATGTAGGCTCTTCAGGTGTAGAGATCCCCAGGCAGCTTAAGTGACCTTCATGGTGCATAAATTAAAAGCAAACAAAGGATAGGCTTTAGTGTACAGTTGGGTTTGTCTGCAAAGGTGTCTCTCTGAGCATGTCCCTGGGTCCCCTTTATGGTCAGCAGAGAGCTAGTCAACAGAGCCATGGGCCAATAAGGACACATATCCTCTCACCCTAATCAATGTATTAATTACACCTCTTGCAAGTGAGAAAATTACTGCCCAACTAAACTTCACACAGTTTGCCTCCTTTGTACAGGTGTATTTGGATGTCTGGGGTGTAAGTAACAAACCACTATTTGTGATGAGAAGCAGCAAATACTCCTTGGGGTCCTTTCATGAGAAAGCACCAAATTCTCAGTGGCAAATGCAGGATCTGCTGCCAAACCCTTCATTTTCACAACTTTGATAATCTACCTAGGGAACAAGGAGCACTACAAAACCAGCTTCAAAGCCTGATAATACCTGCTTTATATCCAGTCTGAAGATCAGAGAACCCTACGGTGTGGCTGGCCTTGCATATCTCCATGGTACAGTACAATACCAACAGAAACTCTAAAGTCAGCTCTGAGCAAAATAAGTTTGTCTGTTGCCCAGAGAAGTCTCCTGTAGAGACAGAAGCTCATCTCCTGGCAGGAGGACAAAGAAGGATGTAGCTGAGGAAATGATGGTCAGCATCATACATTGCTGGATAACATACTGCTGTTGCCACTGCTAACAGGGAAACAAACTCTAGCAAATTTAAGCCAAGTTGCATTTTGCAGTGCTCCCTCAGGTGAATCAGTTAAATTTCTTCTAATTTCCTCAAAGGGAGTTATTAACATAGGTAGAACATCCTGTGTGGACTTGTTGCTGAATTCTCTTCTTTTCCAGCTTTAAGGATCCTCACTGTAATGCATAAAAATACTACACAAAGAGTAAGAATTCCTACACTTCTATCTTGAGATCAGTCAATCTGAAGTACGTTATACATGGCATGTTTTCTGTGAACACAAAGCCAAGCATTGTGTCTTAATTATGGATACAAAGGCAGCAATCATACACAGTCTCAACAGAAAGGACTGGGATTTCACTTAGTCAAAAAAACTCACAGCAAAGCAAAAGTGAGCTGGCATACAGTGTATGGAAAGGAGGGTGTCACCTCAGGCTCTTTTCTACACTTGGATCTATTGCCAGAGCATGTGAAAGTGAATTACCAGATCACCGGAGATTTCATTTGTTGGATTAGCACATGGATGGGTCACCTCCTCTGCACAAGGTTCTTCAACAAATCCTAAAACCTTGTGCCATTAATTCAGATCCAGCTTGAGACAGCTAAATTAGAAGTCACATGTAAGAAAAAAGTCTTTCTCAGTGAGGGGGTGAGGCACTGGAACAGGCTGCTCAAAAAAGTGGCAGATGCCCTGTCCCTAAAGACTTTCAAGGTGAGGCTGGATCAGGCTCTGGGCAACCTGATCTAGCTGTGGATGTCCCTGTTCACAGCAAGGGGACTGGACCGTGATCTTTGAAGGTCCCTTCCAACTCTAAGGGTTATATGATTCTATTCTTGAAGTCAGAGACAGCCATGATAAATTCGAAATCACAGAGAGTTTCCCTTTGCCAGGGATGCATAGCTACAGAGGGGGGGACACATCCCCTTAATTACTATGAAAAAAAATTCAATTTTCATTCCAGCAAAGGCTGCCAGGCTTTTCTATAAGAATTTTGGAAACATAGGCCAGGCAAGGTAAGAAAGTCCACACAGGAATTGGGTGGTCTCCAAAGCAAGGAACAAAGAGTTAAGCATAAATGCACTTCCACTGCCAAGCATTTACAACCCATGGGATTAAGGTGGGGGGCTCTTCCCTTCATGTATGAGAAGATCTGGTTGGCTGACTGCCTCTGGGAAGATATTTGTTCGCTGCACGCAAATGAAGGAAGCAATCCTTGAAATAACTTACCAAACACATCTAGGTATCCAAGCCGCGTCAAAAATAGAGAGGCTTAAGGTGGCCTAGCAGTTCAATAGCGCTGATCTTCTGTTGACTCACTTTCAACTGCTTCCAGCTAAACATTGCATTCTGAGAGAGTAATTTCACACACTGTATTTCCAGTAGTAGTTTCTCCATTCAAGGCCTTCTGATCTGCCCCCAAGGCTCCCTGAATTGTGCTGCACAGCCAGCTGTGGTGTAGAGTTGGAGAATGTGTTGGACTACTGTGGTCAAGAGAGCTCCCTGTAAAACCTTGGCAAAGTGAACTTAGCCCAGATATCTTGATTGCCTTCTGGGAGGTTCTCTCTGCCTACCTCATGTCTCCTTGTCTTTCAGCAGGAAAAAATAGACAATGCTCACTGTCACAAAAGACAGAGTTGATACGTCCCCTAATGAAGTGGCTCTAGCCATAAAGCTGTCTCCTCTCTGCACAGGAGCCTTCTCAACCTACCACTGCTTAGAAGTGAACAAGTGCAAGAAAGAAAGATCTGATACAGTCAGTTATGTGTGCAAAATATCCTTTGTCAGCCCTAGCTAGAGAGAGAATGTTTACCCAAAATTATCATTTTTTCAGGCATTTTTTTAAAACACAAGCAGTTTTGAACAGTGCAGAATAAGTTACAGTATCAACACATACCTAAATCCAGGACAGGTCATGTTTTCCTTCTGGACTAAAACAAGAAGTCATATCTTTAACACACATAATTTATATTCCTGTAGCTTAGAGAGAACCTGAGCACCCGATTTCACTAGGTAGTCCTTGAAATCTTTTTTGCTCTCTTGTCCCAGAAAATAGCAGTGAATCTTCAAACAACAGAGACCTCTGGAGCTGAAGTGGTGCCTGCTTACCTGAGCACAAAGTCATGGGAGTCAATATCTTGGCCATACTGAGACTGACGAAGGTTGCCGGAGTTGCCCACGACGGCACACCGTCTGCATGAGAAAGTGCCCCGCTCCTGCAGTGGGTCCCCGTCCCCAGGAATGATCCCAAACAATTCCTTGAGAGTATCATTAATATTCTTCGGAGATTTCTCTCCTTGCAGTTTCTGTGAGGGAGAAAAATTACTCCAGGTTACCACTGTACCAGTATAGCCAGCTTCTCTGTGCGTGAGACATGGCTTCAAATGTCTTCTCAAAGACCACCTTAGCTCATGCTGCTGCAGACACTGTCTCCCATAGTGTACGCTACAAGGCTCCAGGTGGGAGCTTCAAAAGTGAAGGAAAAACATGGAAAACCCTTTCCCAATTATTTTTTAACTTGCTTTCCCTTTTCTCCTCCTTTTCCATTAACAGCCTCACATCCCCGGTCTCTATTTAGCCATAGTGGAACAGATCACACATTCTCCTCAAGGCTGACCCCAGCACAATTAAAGTCCTTCTGAAGTCTAAAAGCCTCATACTGCTTTGGACCAGATATCTTCTGTTAAGACACGTATAAGATTACTTTTAACTCTCCTAGGAAGGACAAAACAGTCTAAGGGAACCCGATGGAGTACAGAATTAGGGCCAAGCCGGCAAGAGTAGCCATGGACACCCTTCCCTCAAGTTTTGGCATATGCCAGAAGTGGGACAGTGAGTTTTCACTTCTGTTATTCTGGACTAGCCAGACGCTAGGGCAATACAGTACAGAAAAGTAGAGTTAACCCTGAGAGCTGGAGATGTAAAGCTATACAAAAAATTCTCAAGGATGAAGAAAACCACCCCGGACCTTGGTCACTGTGCCTGTTGCCATGGAGGGAAGTTCTTTGTATCAGTCCTGTGGTGCGTGGTGCAAACAATGGCCAGACGGTGAAGGCAGCGGCAAGGTGCAGGGCAGGTGATGTTACACTCACTCCCTTTCTGGGAATCTGCTCTCTGAGGGCTGCTAAAAAGGTTGGGAGTGCTGGCATGCTGACACAAATCACTGCCCACACCCGTGGTGTCACCTGCTCACACGTAGGATAGAAAGCTCTCTAAGGGAGAATGGATCTAAGACAACATCCGCCAAAAGGCTTTGCCCTGCTCTGCAAGCTCAGGGCAAGGAAATACAGGGAGGGAGGGAGGGAAGAAAAATACCTTTCCCACGACTCCCAGCAATGGCCTGGGGTAATCTGGCTTTAGTTTTGACGCTTTTCTCTCACCTGCACCAGGACCTGTAAATCTGTTCTACTCTCTCTACGTACACATAAAGAACTATGACTGCAAATTTTGTTTGATCATCAAAATTATGTGTTGTCTCTTCACAGATCTATGTAAAGAAACCTTATTTGCACAGAATTGAACGACAAGTCCATGGAGGTCAGAGATAAAGGAAAACAAGGCCAAGGACTCAGAACAAAGGAGCCAAAGAAATCTTACCTAACAAATTCATAGAATCATAAAAAGGTTTGGCTCGCAAGGGATCTCAATGATCATCTAGTTCCAATCTCCTGCCAGGGGCAGGGCTGCCACCCATAGAACAGGCTGCCCAAGGCCGCATTCAACCTGGCCTTGAATCACTGCCAGGGATGAGGTATCCACAGCTTCTCCAGGCAACCTCTGCCAGGACCTCACCACCCTCACAATGAAAAATTTCCCCCTGACATCTGATCTAAATCTCCTTTTAGTTTAAAACGTTCCCTCTTGTTCTACCACTACCCACTGACAACAACTTCACCTTCCTGCTAACCATTGCTAACCTACACACTCACATATGAATTGCACAGGGCGGTCCTCATTAAAAGAAGTCAGCACAAAACTCTTGCTGGGCTGAAGTTACCATCCATTATTGTCTTGGCTTGCAGCTGATGCTGAGTTTTGGCAGAGACAAGAGGAAGGGCTTGGACTACCACAGCTCTGAGTCCATTGGATAGTGCTGAGAAATGACATCAATCACAGCATCACTGAAATAGGCACTGCCTTCTTCTGGCTGCATTAATAACTCACCCCTTTGTGTTATTCCTTCAACCCACTCTGAGGGCAGGACATTAGAAAAGCCAGGCCAAGTAATCAAATGGCTGCACCTACAGCTAAAAGGTAATTAGGATGCACAGACAAGAACAGTTATTATTGCTACATATACATACATATGTATTCTGCAGGCAGTTTAAGCACAAATAGTCATTTTCTCCTAAATTTTTTTGTGTGTGATATTACCAACATATCTTCACATACCTAAACTTGTATGCTCTTTATGAACCCAGTCTAACCTAATTCTCAAAACTAATTGGCCTATAAGCAAACCACTTAATGTTAGCCTAATCCTGCACAGCCTTCAAAATAAATGAGGGCTTTTCATAGATGTCACAGAATGCAGCATCAGGGGTATAATGCAGAAAAATCCCATTTTTTAAGAAGGAACTTGTTTTGAGTTATTTGAACACATGCACACACACCATTTGCAGACTCCTCTCTCTGTAAAGACTGAACTGACTTTAAATGCCTTTAAGAAATGAAAGAGAATACCAGCAAACATTGCTTCAAAACATTTTAAAGAACGTAATCATTCTAGGAAAAATAAAAATTTCTTCTTGAACTGATTTTGCCCAACAAAATTCAGATAGAGAAGGTAATTTTCAGAAAATCCTAAGCAGCTGAGCCTTCTTTTTATGTTAAATTACCTTTTCAGACAGAATGATAGCGTCAGTAAAGGAAATGAGCAGTAGCACTTCCGTCTTTGGTGCATTATGGACAGGCACAGAATTGAGATCTGAAGTGTCTTTCTGTTACACTGCTATCAGTCTATACTACCTGCATTGCAATCATGTTAAAATGTGCTCACCAAGCCCAGCCAGAAGGCAGGATACCACTGTCCTAAAATCTCTGTTATACAGAATTTTTCCAGCTGAGATTAGGACTGGCTTTACAGACTGCAAAGACCGTAAGTAGAAGGAGGACTTTTTGCTTAACTCCATCCAGGAAAACACCAGTCCCTCATTAAAGGTGCTGTTTTTATATCCTCAGTGATAATCTGATTGGACTCTGTTTTTCAAGACCAGGACTAATCTTCAATTGTCTAGTCTTTGACTTTTCAGCAGTACAAAGCAGAACAGGAAATACAGTTGTTTAACTTCAAGGCAGATCTCTTTTAAAACTTCAGACGTAATATGCAGCCAAGTTCCTTATTTCACAATGATTATTTGACTTCTTGAAAATGTCTATTTTGATAGCTTTATAATTACAAGCCAATTATAGTTCACTTTCCCATGCCAAATATTTGTTTTTGGGGTTTGTTTTTTTTTTGAGTAGTGTTGTCATTTTAACAATCTACCACCAGTTTGGCATTTCCCATAAATGAAAACTGTGAGGAACCTAAGTCCATCCCCGTCATGCAAAGCAGAGCCATGTAAACCCTGGCAGTGCAGATGGCAGCATAATGCCCGCTTGGAGCTCTGCTGAGATGTGATGTTCTCTCCAAGTGCTGTAGGTGTGTGCCAGGGATATATCTATGAATATAGCTGCTGGCTTAAATACACTGAAATACCTGAACCGTGTGTCCTTGGTGAAGTCACTGGTCTTCTCCAAAGTCTTTGCAATCAACAGCCTTATCTAACGGTGCAGTTTAATCTCTTGCCCAATTCCAAAAGGAATCTTTACCTGACTTGTGTCCACATATCAAATATCTCAAAACACTTCAGTCTCTAGCCCTCTGAGAATAAGAGACCAGAAACCTTTGGATTTCCTGTTTTTGTATCTCGGAAGGCTTCCCTAGGCTCTCTGGTACCATCACACCACCAGTAATGGTACCAAGTATTGCTAAGAAGCAGTACTCAAAACTAACTAAGGGAATGCAAGGGGAGGATGTGAATTCAATCAAGCCTGCTCAGAGCTAAAAGCTTGGAGCAGTGGCAATGAAATCAAAGAGTCTAGAAGGGAAAACCTGCTGGTGCTTGTGCACCCTGCACCCATGGGCAATTTGGATAGTTCAGATTGGATACTAGGAAAAATTTCTCCTCCAAAAGAGTGGTAATGAATTGGAACAAACCACCCAGGGACGTGGTGGAATTACATCCCTGGAAGCCTTCAAGAACCATGTAGATGTGCCACTGAGTGACATGGTTTAGTGGGCATGGTAGGGATGGGTTGATGGTTGGACTAGATGTGTGGTCTTTTCCAACCTTAATGATTTCCTGATTCTAAGTTTGGCACTGCATTATATTAGACACACCTTCAAAATCCCAATATATTAGCATGTAGAAAATATCCTGCTTAACCTGAATGTAGGTGGAAATGTGTCACGCCTGGGTCAGTATACAACCTAAGTGGTGGAAAGCCATAAGTGTGGGCCTGGCAGCACATCAGGGACAGCCCTTTGGCAAGAACACTGACAGGCAGCCTAGGAAAGTAAGTGCAGAAATACTCTTTTTCAGTGTTTTCCCTTTTTTCAAACTGTCTTTAAAAGATAGAGACTTAAGCCCCATGAGAACCTCTTTTGCACAGCTACTAATTGCCTTGCTGCAACAGTTTGGAGGCATTAACACTCAGGCAGCACATTCCAGTCATAAGACATTGTACAAAGATTAATCCTAGCAACAGCCTGATGGGGCAAATGCAGGTAATCTCCATTTTGCAGACCGAAGGAAAGGTTAAAAGAAGACCATCAATTTTAAAAATGTCTCCTTGGTCTGGAAAATATGACATTATTATTGTTATACTTAATGTCCTGCAATTACTATGCATCAAAAAGATTTAGGGGAAGAATATAGGGCCTTTCAAGGGTTTGGGTTGGGTTTATGTAATGATTTGTGTCTGTCATAAAATACGTATTTTCAAATATAAATGTAATGTGCATTTTTTATGCAAATAGCACTCAGTAATGTGTGCATGCCAAATTGTATGATTTCCAGCTTCCACGGCTGGTTCAAGCCACCTCCACAAGAGCAAAAAGACCCTACCTCTGCCCGCTCTGTGTGCTTGTGTTTCTGGCTGCGGGATGCCTGCAGCTCAGCAAAACTGAGCCTGCTGTTCAGAGGGACTGCAGGTTCAAAGCACTTTCAAATCCATCTATCCTCGCCGCAGGAGAACCTGGTGCTATCCAGCTGGACATACAAGACACTGCTGGCAGGGACAAGGGGAAACACAAGGTCAGGCTCTTTCTCTCTATATGTCCAAGGCTGGTCTGAACACTGGGCTTGCACCCAAGCAGGATGACACGAGGTCACACCGAGTATGTACAGCCACTGGGACTGCATTTAGCTCTACCTTCTGAAGGGAACGTGCTGCCTTCGAGGCGTTGAGCCCTTGGTACTGCATTTCAAGCATCACGGTGTCCCAGTTTTAAAGATTTCTTGTGATCAAAGTATTTGGATAAATTTTCTACAAAGAGCATTCAAAATGCATGACTCAGGTGCCAGGTATCTCTGATACTGCCTTAAAAATAAGAGCAGCTTCCACATGCACGTGATGGGGATGCCCTTTTATTCACAGTCTGCTGAGAAAATCTTTAAGCCATACATTACACTTTTTCTTACAGCCACAAGACCTAAAAGCTGGCATTTTCTTTTAGATATGCTAATCAAATGTCCCTAAGAGCTGAGCATCATAAAACTCAAGATAAAACATGTTAGAATGTGAAAGTTTATGAACTCTGTGCAGCAGATAAGATTGCCAGAGAACTCTGAGCCTGATTTTACTTACTATAAACTTCAATAAGTTTAAACTTTAATACTTTATGATAAACTTTAATCCATCAGCTTGAGTGGAGTTATTTGGAATTTAGAATAGCAAGTTTCATTCTTGCATTTTTTATACTCTCTGATCATTAAAAACAATGAAGAAAAACTTTCAGGACAAAACAAGAGAACTATAAATAAATGCTATGCCATGTTACAGCATGTATTCTTTTTTTTTTTGTCCCAGTTCCTTATATATGGGCTACTGTCATAGATCAACAGAAAACTTGAAAGTGAGCCTGTTGTTCAGGACAATGGGACAGATAATAGGGATAAATGCAGCACATTGTATAAGGTGACAACTTCCAGAGAGACTTTGTCAATCCCTGAAATACAAGATGAGTAAATGCAAATGGACAGAAAGACAGAGGGACACATGGAGAAGAGAAGAGAAG